AAATTAAGGAAAAGCTGGAACTGTAACTAAGGGAAACAAATTAAGTGTTTTATAAAATAGAAGAATATCAATTTGCATAAAATAAGTATATGTTAAGGTCTGTAATTTAGGACAATAAGATGTAGAACTACTTATAATTGGTTGGAACATTAAGAGTCTGATATGCACATATTTTATTAACTGTTTGAATGAATGTACATTAGGGTTAATAAATATAATCGAGTTGGAGTAAAACCAAAATAAAAACATTATTATTTACACAAATATATCTAAAAAAAAGTTCAATACAGATAATTATTTTATTTAAAATACCATGAATGAGAGCTTTTATATACCCTACTATGTAACGAATGTATTACTACACGTTCGCAAGTTGAAAGAATGATATTTCAGACAGAATCCCTGTATAAGTTTTGTCGATAATACCACCTATGATAATCGATAAGTGATTTTTGAAAAATAGTTCTATTTTCACAATTAAACTGGTGAACGATTTATCATTTATCACAAAAATATTTGTGACAAAATTAGCGTCTTCTCAGAGATAAATAAAAAACAATATAAAATAAACACTTTCAAGAGCATCAGAAAATAGGGTGGTAATATAGAGTAAGAGCGTAACGTTGCGCATGCGTATAAGTATGCATGTTTTGTGATTATATTAAACCGTAGAAATATTTCTATAAGTTTAAAAATGAAAGTAAATGGCTTTGTAATTGTAATTGGTCGTTTGCGTATTTCTAAACTTTTTTATATCCATTTTATAATTTTTTAATAAATAGTGCTTATTTTGCTATTACATGTTTGGCGCGCAGCTTTAAAGACAAAGGCTATCCCACAAGGCTTTGCGTATTATTTTACGAGAAAAGACAGAGGCGGTAGTCGCCATATTAGCTATCATCAAAGGGAAAGGTTGTGTTAGTGAAAGCGTGATGGCGTACAACGGACACCCAGCGAAAAGAATAAAAACAGAGCCTGATGCACGGGTAATTTCTATTAATTTATCATTTATATTTTAGTCTGTTGTGGTTCATTGCTTCTATTTGTAATTTTTCCAATGGTTACGATTTTTAACGAGAACTGAATTTACACTTAGTAGTTATTATGAATATTTTAAGACCAAAATACAATTAAAGTCAAAAGTTAGCGTGTTACGGTTGGCCAATGCCGCCGAGATACAAGTTGAATAAGAACCTAACGAAGTACTAACGTTAAGAGTAGTTAGTCGCAATATCTGGGTTAGCTGTTATGGAAGTGCCGGTAACAAAGTTTTTTGCTTAATTTATTTGCCTCTATATAGATGTCTTAGGATGTTATCTTTTTAGTCCATAACATTTGATAAATGGTACATATAAATTTATCAAAGCATGGTAAAACTATAGTGATATTTCTACATATAATGATGTGATGAAAGATGTATTCGAACTAGGACTCGATATTCAACAACATGGCGTAAGCTACGCTGAAACCAACTCCGATGTAACATTTTTACGTGTAAAAGAAAACTTTTTCTCTCGTATATGTGTGTATACATATATAAAATATGTATGTTAATATACGTGTTAAAATCTTAATATAAGTTATTTGTATAAATCCAACGCTCCTAATATGAAACGTGGCCTGATGTAAAAGGATTTTTTTAGTTCTTTGTTGTTGCCTAGTAGATTAACTGCTAAACGTAGAGTAGTGAATTTATAATGCTATTTGTTCTACTTCAGAATAAAACTAGTTATAAATTACTAGAGTTCAAAATAATAATAAATAAATGTTTTATTATACAAAAAAGTCATTGTTTTATGACACTGTAATTTGAATGTTTATTTTTTTAATTGATTTAATTTATAGTATTGGGCTAGGTGTGGTTTAGTATTTGCTGCTAATCGTGGTCTGTAACTTTAAGTGTCTATAAAAGTGACAGCCAGAGTTGATATTTGGTTGAAAGAGCCAGACAAACTGTAGGAAATGACCATTTTTGTTTTCCTAATAATAAAACATTAACTTTTCTTTTAGCTTTGTTAATTCTATAGTTAGTTTTATTAGGAAGTTGAGCAATTAGCGTCTGCAAATTTCCAACCTACATGTTTAGCAAAAATGTTATATAGGAGATGGTTGAACACTGAGTTGTACTGGACATGTGCAAAAAAAAATGACAATCTATAAACAAAAAAAAAAAACTCGAGAATGAAGTACAAAGCTTATAAATTGGAAACACAGAACACTATTTCTGTCTTACGACAAATGAAATGGCAATGTTTGAAAGTCATTCTAAAAGTAAAAAGGGAGTTGGGCAAGATCTATCGGGCAACAGAGAAGCATAATACAGCATACTTTTGTAATTTTGGTAAAAGTTTGGGGGAAGTGACATTTTTACATTGTGAGTAAGCAGTACAAAATGCATAATTACGTTATGTATTAGTAGTGGAAACAAAATCACAAAAATGTGCTGTATTTTAATACCTGGTACATAAAACATGAGTGGTGTTCTAATTTCTCACAAGTCACTTCCTATAGATTCTGATGGTTTTTTTTGCACGTGTTTAATGTAGTACAGGTTTTGAAAATGTTATTCAAGATATCATATGTGAGGGTTATAATATCTAATATTTAGGTTTAAACATTTCACACTTTTGTCAGAAAAATGTGGCCAAGTTTATGGGATGTTGGATTTATTTTAGTACTATTTGAAATCTTATTAGAAACACCTTGGATGTGAAAAAAAAAGGTGTGGCCAAAAAAGGATTAACTTTGCAATTTAAAGGGATGAAATCAAAACTAACAGCCAAACTGGTAACTACACTTGATAAGAATTTTACGGTAAATGTTCATTCATTTAGTTTATACATGTAGTTTGGCTGCCAATTTTGATTTCCTTCCTTTAATTTGCATGCTAAATGCCTTTTTTGGTCACACCTAAGGTGTTTTTGATTAGATATCCTGACTTTTTCTCAATACACACCAACAAATTAAAGTAAGAAGTGACACTTGATAGTAACCATTGTTAGCTTTAGAGTTGCAACACTAGTATTTGGAACAGACCAATACAGAAGCAATCAGATTCTTTACAATGTATGATGGTAGTTTATCCTCTTCAAAACTGTGTTAATAACTTCCTTTATAATAATGCTATGGAATCTTAACACCCACATTCACTAGGTACAGAAGTATTAAGCATCACTGTTTATGCTAATTGCTTAAGCTAATATCATGTGATGCTAAATGCTCTTTAATTAGGAGAATTTCATACAATTTGGCAAATTTTTGCTTAAAAGTATGCAATGAATAATAACCTTTTATGTGTATGATTCTATTGAAAATGCGATTTAGAAACTGATCTAATTTGCTTGGCTTAATCAATACTAATGTATCTGCACGTGCTTTCACCACATAGTTTTGCTGCTCTAAAGTGTGTGTCTTTAATCTGGATGACAAACAACTAAAAACAATCCCAGACAAATAGCTCGCATGATATTTTGCTTAGGATGAGCACAAAAATTTTGGTAGTATTTGAGTGGTTTTTGTTGAATAACTTTGCACATGTGGCTTATATTGAGATCAAATTTGACATTTAATTATCTGTGTACCAAAGTTGAAAATAATCCATAAAAGATAAGTGTTTTTCTATCAAATAAAAGTTTGATAATTTTGTGTGAAGAAGAAAAAAGGAAGATAGTCAAACTTGGAGGTTTTCTATCTTGAGTATTTTTTAATGGATTGCCTTGAAATTTGGTATGTGAAATAAGGTTCTAGTAGAACATATCCACTGAAAATGTGATAGTTTGTATTACCACAGTTTGAGCTACAGAAGGTAGAAAATGTTAAAATATCACTCATGTTTATTATAATGCCTCGTAGAATGTTTTGGCCACACAACACAATGTCATGTGTCTTGATATTGAAGAAGCTTGTCTTTGCAATGGGCCATCACACAAATCTAACTAGTAGTGTTAATGTGTGTGTTGGTTGATTATTTAAGGTTTAATTTAACCCTTTTGCTGCTAACTTTGACCTTTTATTAATAAAAGTTAATTTTGTAAAAAAAATTCAGATCTGAAACGGGCATTTCAACCTTATATCACAATAACCATGAGATGTTTTGAAATGTTTGTCTTGGCAAATCTACAAGTTATAATGAAATAAAAAACAAAACTTGCATAATAATTATATATTACACCATTATGCAGTACCCCCTTAAAACACTAGGCAATGAGCTGTTTCTTAACTCATTCAGAATGGGCTAGGACCTCGTAACCATTTTTTGTTCAAGTTTTAATGTTCTGTAAGCAATGTTTTTCTCGTGCTTTTTTACTTTTCGCATATTACTTATCTGACATGCAAAGTAATTTTCATTTTAAGATTAAAAATACTTTTATACATCAGAAAATTTTAAAATTTTACATGCAAAAACCTTGTCCAGATAGTTATCAAACGTTTCTTAAGAAAAAAAACTTGTCTGTTATTTTTACTAATGAATCTCTGTACGGGTGAGGTTTATTTGACTGATCTCGTAACCATCATAAAAAAAATTAAGAAATAAATGTAAATTAAGCCTTTTTTATCTCATTAAATTATACATTTATATATATATATATATATATATATATATATATATTTATATTATTTATTTAATGTGTCTGTTTAACATTACAGAAGTTACAATGATGTGGTGCACGTGCACTCGATTGGATACAGTAACAAATATAAAACTGACCTTTAGTCTTTACAAAGTGACCTCTCTTGGTTATGTTTTAGTGGACTAGTATTTTGTAAAATAGTCACATTTCAATTATTATACATTATATATGTATATAGATTATTACTATTTAGAAATAAATTCTTAAACTTATCATCATTAAAACATAGAACAGTAAATAAAGAAGTAAAGCAAACAGTTCTTTTAGTTACGACCTTTGTACTTGGTTGCTGCTTGTTGTGGTTTTTTAAGCCTTAAGAAAAAATTGGAGGATATGAAACAAATATATTTTAGGTTTTATATATATTTGAATAACCACAAAATCATAAATTATTATCATAGAGTACCATTATATAATTTATCAAGTTTAGTAACTAAGCCATATTTGGGTCTAAAAATATATAAAATTTTGAACAGGCTTAAGACTTAACAGCACCAAGGTTTGTCTGAAAAGAAAGAGATAATGCCGTTATATTTTATTATGGCTGAAAAAGCTACTAGGGGGACATTCTGGGCTTTCAATTGGTTATTCACGTGTCATATGTAAAAGTATGTATATAAGGGAACGTTTCCAAAAATGGAAAGAGGTGAGCCACATCACTGTGTTTGATTCAGTACATCAGTGATATCTCGGCAAATAGAAAAAGTAGGTTCTTATTTTATATAATATCAGCATTGTCAATATCGGTAATTTGAGTTCCTAATTCGTACAAAACTATAGACTTGTGTGTGATGTCAAAATACAATACAAAGTCATGTATTCAACATACCACGTGACACACAGAAATCAATGTTTAACTGTTATTTTTAATATTTACTATTAAATTATAATCTACAGTTTGATACCAAACTAAATGACATAGTTTCATAAGTAGTGCAATAAAAGTTTCAATGCAAATCAACAAACATGATGACATGGCCTTTGACCTGTGACTAGTCTGGAAAGGGTTCAACAACAAAACATGATTTATTCATAATAACAACACTTAGAAATAAATTCAACACTTAGCAAAACAGTTAATAAAAAAGTGCTTGGCCAGGACTACTATTAATAGATAATTTAACATTAATAAATCAATAAAAATGGAATCAGGAAAGAACCATAATTTAAAAAAAAATACAGCAAAAATAATATTCAAACAGTACCTTTCAATATCAATAACTATTGAATGACAAACAGCAATAACTATCTTATGAATCCCTCTCAGTGAAGCTTCTGGCAGGGTAGATCACAAGAGTACAACCTCATGTGATCATAAATTTACATACTATTCTGCTACATTAGTAGTATCTATAGGTCATCATCATCCCTAGAGAATCTAGTGTCAATTTCATCATACACACATGTATTTACTCAAAATACAAATGGTTATGTAGAAGGTGAGTTAGCATTTTAATGCAACTAAAAATTCATAATCATAGATAAACTAAACAACAGAAGGAAATAAATGAACTATAAACACAACCATGATCATAAATAGAATTTATCTCACAAATCAACCTATAGATTCCACATATTGTTACTCAAGATTCATTGTATCTTTTGATTTTTGTGTATCACATGGTATGTTGAATGCAACACCGATTCAAATTAGATGTTTGTGATGTCAGAATAAGTCTATAGTTTTGTACTAATTACAAACTCAAATTACTGATATTAACAAGCTAGAATATAGATTAAGAACCTCCTATCTTTTCTATTTGCTGAGATATCACTCATGTACTGAATCAAACACGGTGGCCCTGCTCACCTATTTCCATATTTGGAAATGGCCCATTATATACACTTTATATGTATGTGATGTGAAAAACCAATCAAAAGCTCAATGTCCCCCTAGTGGCATTTTCAGCCATTTTCAATTGTTAGGACACCATCTCATTTTCTTGAAACAAGATTTCAAGGGGGTAGGTTGTCTGCTTGAAATATCATATTTTTTAGACCAAAATACAGTCTAATTACTGTGAGCTTGATAAATTATAGTGGAATTCAATGGTATTTATATAGTAATTCATGATTTTTGGTTATTCAACTGTATATATATATATAACCTACAAAAAATTTTCATATCCTCCATATGTAAAACTTTAAAAGGCTTAGCAACTTAGGTCAAGCAGCAACCAAGTACAAAGGTCTTAACTAGAAGAAATAATTGTTTGCTTTACTTCTTTAGTTACTGTTCTATGTTTAAGAAAAATAAGATTAAGAACTTATTTGTAAATACTAATAATGTTTATATATGTATAATGTAATATAATTGAAATGTGACTATTTTACAAAGTACTAGTCCACTAAAATACAACAAAGGTTGCTTTCTAAATTGGATATGGTAACATGAGGGCACAGCTGAAAAGGTCAGTGTAATAAATATATATAAATATATAATGTTATGATTTGTAGTCATTCTAGAAGGAAAACATCATAATTTATATTCCTAATTTGTTGTGGTGGTTACGAGGTCAATCAAATCGACAGACCCCATATAGTTAGGGTAAAAAAAATAGACAAAATACAAAGTTTTACTGAAAACAAATGTTTGAAAATGTATTTAGGGGGTTTTAGAGATTACAAAAATTTGAGATTTTTGGGATGAAGAATAGTTTTTTAATC